TAATTTAAACCATTAAACTGGCTATACCAGAATTGAGGCAAAATTTTTTACCTGAACATCTCCGTGTTGCCGAAGCTGAATTCCTAACAAAATTAACTGCTTCTGAGCTGAAACAATTAGCAAAGTTGATGAGATAATACTCATCTTTGGTTAATTGAGAAAAATTTTAAATAAATAACTATCATGCTAATTTAAGATAATTTACAGAATGTGGAGTACAAGGTTCAAACAGGAAACCACAAAACAGCACTGTCAGTATAAAAGCAGATTATAACAGAAATTCATGGTGCACAAAAGTAACCGAATAATAGATTATAGAGAGCAAGCACCTCTATGTTGGTACTGCATAGGGCTATCACGAAGAAATTGTTTGATACCCTCCCCATGGTTTGCATGAATCAAGCCTAGGGCATAGAGAGCACCGCCTTTTGAAGAAACTTACCTATTTAGCCTTCTGGTGTGGCTTTTGAGATCCATGTAGGTTTCCCTAGAATGGATGCTACAAGTAGAGACGAGAGAATGAACTCACTCAATAGTCAATCCGAATAAAATGTCTCAACTCAATGAGGAATAATAGATTTAATCTCTCAAATTTCCAAATCATCTGATCTAGCATTGGCCCGCTACTAACTGTAAGCTTATCGGATTCCAATAAACTCACAAACTAGATAAAAGAATTTTAAAAAATGTATAATAAACTAAAACAGAAGCAACGAAAAAGGAAAAAATAGGCATTTTACAACACAAACAAGCTATTTAAAAGCAGAGCAGGTTAAGGAACAAAAGCCGGGTAATGATTTTAATTAATAGAGTCAAGTTTTTAGAGAATCTTCAGAGCTTTTATAGCTTCTTTGAATTAGTGTGATACAATTTAACAGTAGGTGTGATGCCAGTTCTGGGAGTGATTCCTAGATTCCCCCCCCCCCCCCACCCACCTTTTCTTCTTTTTATCTTGCAATTATTTGCCCTTTTCAAGCCTCAGCAAAATCTGCCCAGCCATTGGTTCACTCCTCTCAAGTTTTCAACCTTATTTTTCAAGCCTCAACTAAAAGTTTCTGCACAAATCTACAACAACGGAAACATAGTCCTTGCGAAGTTCCTCGGAAACTCTGTAAATAAAAATAATAGCAAACACATGAACTAAATCTAAAACAGCAACTGCTAGGTACCCAAAAAATTTAATCAGAAAAAGTATTGAATGGTTGATATTTCATTTCAAGTATGGTTTACCAATATACAAGAATTAAATCTAAGCCACATCAAGTGTCTGGTGAAGTATTATGGGTTCTTAGACTTTATGGTGCTCAAAATTTGGTATCTTATACAATGTCATGCCAAATATGGTGTTCTTTCACTATCCATTTTAGCATTTTAGAATTTGCTCCAACAAGGCCAAAATTACAAAACAAAATGGATTAAAATAGGGATCAAGGTGTGAGGAATTTGGATTCATACCATGTCCTTTGCCCACTCTCCTCAACTGAGCAACGTATTCTGACATCTTCTTAATGGCTTCCACCTAATAATAATAATAAGAAAAAGAATGAACCCAGAAATCAGTATATCATGCTACATAAGTGACACAATTATCTTCTAAAAGGAAATAAGGAAATTTCAGATGAATGGGAACAAATGAAATTGCATTTCACCTGCTCAGTTAAAAATTCACTTTCGCAAAATCTGTCAACTGAGCATCATTGTTCTTGGCTTTGTTACCTGTTGTCACAGTTAATGTCGTAAATAACCAATACCTCAACTTCACACTAGAATAAACGACAGTAAGCAATTTCAAACACACTGGATTACATAGATCAACTTTTCGATCCTTGGAGTCACAAAATGTAATACAACCTCCTGGGACATTTTCTCCATTGGTCATATAGAACTGCCTAAAAAGAATGAAAACTATAACAAGAACTAGAGCCAAGTAAACAAGACACAAAAGGAATGTCTTACAGCGTGCAAGTTCAGAAGTTTTTCATTTGTCAACTTCTCCAAAGACCGTGCAAGCTCCATTGCTAAATCAACAAATTAGCCACAATCAGTATCAATCACTTAAGATACAGAGGTTTCAATCAGTTTTTTTTAAATAAAGGGTTCATGAGTATGAGTACACAAATTGACATGCCATGAACAGCAAAACCACAAAACAAAGGCAATTTTACAAGCACTTGGCAAGTTTGGGAACATACTAAAATAGCTAAAAGGTCACTACCAAAAAGTCAACTTTTCTCTCTACTTCTTTGCACGTCTTTTAAAAAAAAAAAACTAAAAAAATCAAACTAAAATAGCTACTTCTCCAAAAACACAGGCTAAGATGTCATTGTTATCCTAGGTCTTTAATCCAAATAATAATACTTAGTTATGCTTCTGTTTTCATGAAATCGGGTTGGGTTTTCAGACCAAGCAATGTTCCACAAGAATAATTGCAAGGCCAACAAAACACATGTTCCAAAATAGTGCCCATGACCCAAATGAAAAATTGTCCCCAAATGGACTGGAATGGTGAATGCAAAAGCCATGTGTGGAGTCCAAACTTCAAAAATAGAAGTAACACTGAGCTAGGTTAAGGCTTAGAAACACCTGGAAACCAGGAAAGTTGTAGTTACATAGCAGATAAGAGCCCAAGTCAGTTGAAAATAGCTCCACAGAGACAGGTTTCAATTCAGCATGGAAGGTATATAAGCTTTGGAGATGCTAATAGAACAAATACGTAAAAAAAGAATTCAAATGCAGTAGTGAATGCAAGTGCATTCTTTCTGGATGGTATGCAAAAGAAATTGCTAGAAAAAAGGAGCAAAGCAAACCTGATGGTTTCAAGAGGAGCAAGAACAGCTTGGTCATAGCCCCAGCCAAAGCACCACTAAGAAACTCACCAACTCTCTAGTCCTCAGAAAATCCTGAACCAAAAACATCATTTCTTTTCATTTGGATAAAAGCATGCCTCCTATATCATTTTGGTACACGAAATATGAAAACAACTTTATGTATACCTACCTACCTATAGATTGATTATATATTCATATATTCCAAAAGAATAAAAAGGCAGGAGTTATAACAGATAAGGAATAATGGAACTAATACAATCAGACTTGTGTTTAATATCTAATCATATTATTTATTAGAAGACAAAGAAGAAGATTATATTCTAGCATACGGTTGGTAACAAAAATGAAATGCCACAGAACAGAAGTGAGAAAAAATTGAAAACTGAAATCTGAGCGAGCATGTTTGTTGAGCCAAAATACCCAGAGTCACAGTATGTAAAGTGTGTTTTTATGCGTTTGAAGAAGGATGATGGGGGAAGTGGGCATAGAATGGAACTCACAAATTAAACCTTTTGAAATCCCTAATTCATCATCGAAAGCAGAGAGAATAAAAATTTAAAAATAAAAATAAAAGAATTAATGTGAGAGTGAAAAGTGAGATTATTTTCTCGTAATCCAAACGAAAGAATAAGAATATGAATAAGATTATGAATAATGAATATGAATATGAATATGAATATTCAAAGAATCAATTAGGCTGCATATTTGGATATAATAAATAACAGCAATAATCAAGCATAAACACAAAGGGAGGGAGGGAGGGAGTGCGTGAGTTAGAAAATTGAAACAAATTAACAGATCCAATTTCCAAATTGAAACAAACTAACTTATAGACAGAACAATTAAAAGAAAAGAAAAAAAAAAGAAAAAGAAGGGGTATGGTATGCATTAATAAATTACTTGCATTAATAAGAACCGCAGCAAGCTAATTTTTGCGCAAGTTGACCACCTGCAGCCCCTGCTCCGGTTGATTGATTTTGATAGTTTGAGGCTGCTGCAAAACACAAATTGTAAGTAGTTTTCAGCACTTTAGAACAGAGTGACCCCAAAGTGAAATTCTTAATTAAAAAACAAGACACGTGTCATGTGATTCAAATACCTCTGCCCTGGAGTCAGTGTCAGCGAGCCTTTGCTTTATATCCCTAGCTATTGAAAAGAAGACTTGCTCAACATTAAGATTTGTCTTTGCACTCTGTAAACGGCAAGTTTAATCAGTAAAAAGGACACGGTTTGATAAATTTTTTAGAGAATTTAAGTGTGTTGTACTTACAGTTTCAAAGAATTTTAATGCCAATATCATCTGCAAGTGCTTGGCCCTTAGAGGTTGGCACAGCATACATAGATTTATGAGGAGAGATTTTCAGATTCGAGAGGTTCACAAGCAAACTTTGAAATGGAACTAAATTGAAGACATGAGCTGAACTAGTAGAATTGAAATCAAAGGCAATTTAAGTGATATAAAAAGAAGTGAAGGGAGCAGGGGCTCACACACACCACACACACACACACACACACACAGAGGTTTAAACAAACCACATACCCTTTTGCTTTCATCCATATCAGCCTTGTTCCTACCAGTATCTTGTTGACATTATCAGAAGCATGCTGTTCAATGTTGCGAATCCAGTTCCGAATGTCTGAAAAAAGTGGAAGCAAGGTTTTTAAGAATCAATAGAGAAACACAAGACAATTTGATGATAGTAGTTCTGCAAGCCAATGCAAATCCATTTACCCTGTGACAGTAGACAATAAAATATGCAGAAAAAATCTATTTAAATTTTGCACAAAATATTTGTAGAAAAGAGTCCAACTAGCAGAGGTTAAACTGCCTAATAACACCCCAACTGTGCCCTTCTAAAAAAAAACACACACTTCAACTGTGTATCTGTACTTCCAAAATTTTAAATGATAGTCCTCTCTTCAAAGTTTTGTTTTCATATGTTGCTAATGACACTCACCTTCCTACACATATTTATGCAAGGAATTTCCATCCATCAAACAATGCACAAAATCTTAAATGGGAAATGTCCCAAGAAAGTATTCCAAACATACACCAATTACAACTAAAAAGCAAGTCTCCATTGGAGCTCTATAGCTTGACTAAAGATACCTCAGACTATGCTTGGTACAACACCAGGTAATTCTATCTTGCTTCAGCTTTCACAATTTTCTTTCTAAACTTTCCACAGATCTGACATGTTTTTTGAATTCATCTTGCATTATACATTTTGATTGCCGTGACTTACCAATGCGTTCTGATATTAACCCAGTCCTACAAATAGGAAACCTTGGCCACCAATGGTTGCATTTGTAAATGGTGAATATATAGGTAATTACATGAACACAGGCAAACAAATGTTTGTTTTGTAGCTCTGTGATCTAATATGTATTTCCGGAAATTGATTCACAATTATGGTTAAATTTTGTTGAGCATCATCTTTTTTGGCCCAATATTGTGTCCTATTTATCCAAATTGTCGTATGAAAAATAGTGTAGAAGTTTCTTTCAGTTCAAAAAAGAACCTAACAGATCAATTCAACAATTCAACAAACACACATATTGATGTATACAAATGTTATACATGCAGTAAAATTCGAAAGAAATAGAGAGAGAGAGAGAGTATCGATTAAAGTTCAGTAAATGAGGATCAAGTCAGAATGCCTCTCTCTGAATCTCTGCAAATGAGGTTCAAGTAAGAATGCCTTCAAAACATTGATTTCATAGATCTAGAGAGAGAGAGAGAGACGGTGGAGCTCGCTACCCGGCGGATTGCAGGATGCACGATGACGGTGGCGATGGAGTTTCGAAATCGCTCTGAATCTCGAAATCGATCTGAATCTTCCAAATCGCTTCGAAATCGCAGGTGCAGATGGAGCTTCGATGAAGAAATGTGTGCGTATAAGGATTGACAGAGAGAGAGAGAGATGTGTGCGTATTCAAGCTAAGACTCAGTGTTATATATTCAAGCTTCAAGAACAGCCGATTGATCTCCTCCGTCTTCTTCCTCGCTGAGAGAGAGAGAGAGAGAGAGAGAGATATGTGCGCGAAATTGCTTACACTTTGGACTCAGATTCGAAAATAAGGGTTTCATAAAGGGGCGCGTGTACCTACAGCATTCGAAGGCGCTTTTAAACGCCTTCAACTGAAACGGTGCCGTTTTGGTTTTAAAAAATATGCGACGATTAAAAAACGTCGTTAAAAATTAGCAAACATGACGTTTAGTAAAACGCCGTTAATTAAACGCCGTTAATCGTCCCGTTTCCTGTAGTGAGTCCATTGTTTGGTTGAGAATTTGTAACCCAAATTAGGAGTTCCACCGGATTATCAATCCTATATATGTTGGATTATTGTATCCTAGAGGATATGAGATAGAAATGATGAGATTGGAATACAAAGGAATTAATTTGTAAAGAGTGATTCTACTTACACCACTACTTTACTTCTTTACACTCTCAATCTCATTACACCACTAAAAAAAAAATATGATTCTTATTACACCTATTATATTATCAAAACTAACCCTAAAGTAGATTCTTTAAAACCTTTTCATCTCTTTACACCAATAGTTTTTGGAGGGAATAAGAGAACAGAGACAGACGCAGGGAAGACAGTGAGTGGAGTCCAGAGCGAAGTGCTTGTTTGGTCACACAGTGCTAAACAATTTACATTCCTCTGGTGTTATGTTGTCGGAAAAAATATATTTCTCTACCATTTTGTTGTTATACATTTACAAGCCACTTTCTTCCAAACAATGATTTTTAAAATTGTGCCAGGCCTGTTCGGTAATATAATGCTAATGAATTTGAATTAATCCAATACCATGTTACTAGATAAACTTATTTTTCCCAGCAATATGTTGTCGTTCGATTGGATGATAACAAGAAATTAATTCGGGGCCACTTGTGAAGATCATGTTCGGGGATATATTGCTATACAAATTAGATTACTCTAGTGTCATGTTTCTAAGCTATAATAGATTTGTCTAGCCACCTGTCTTTGTACATTGACAGATTTATTTTTTCTTGCAAGCATCCATAAAAAACATCCATAAATCAAACAAGCATCCATGAAATCATACATAAAAAAGTATTCATAAAAATATTCTTAAAAAAATAAAGTGTACGAACATCCATAAAAGGATTCATAAAATCTATCATTATTTGCATCCATCAATCAAACATGTTATTACAATTTGTCTATATCGCCAGTTTTGGTAGTTGATAACTTACTACATTAGGGTTGACAAGCTGTAGACACTCCATTTTTGACTGCCCTTAAGACTTGGGTGCCACTAATTGATCACTCGATGATGAAAGTTATACTGTGCAAATGTTCGATTTCTTCAGCAAGAAAAGCTTCTAAATCCTAGCCTTACACCCAATTTTTGACCAAAACTATTTTTGACCTGAAAATCGTCTTTTTTCAAAATATTTTTCCCAAATGTTTCTACGATGTTTCGAGACTTGCATTTTGTTAAATGTTGCACTTTTCGGTAAATCGAGCAAAGACAAAGTGGAAATAAATGGAAGAGAGGTGAATTCTTTGAAAAATCTTTAAAACATCTTATTTAAAGGCTTGGAGTTAAAGAAAATTGGAGGAGAGAGAAGAAAACTAGTTGGGAAAGAAGTTGGACATCAAACTGTTAAGAGAGAACTGAGCAGCCTTTACTAAATCAGGCCTATCTCTTCGTACACTTAGACTTTAGTTGTGACGCCACCACCATTAGAAAGTGGACTTCCGGGGCTTCAATTTACACTCAAGAATCTCCTACAGTTGAGTCCCGATGAGGGAGATATGGCTATTTGAAGTTTGGCATCAAACCGTTAAAATATAACTAAGCAGCCTTCACTAAAATAGGCATTAGAATTTAGATGTGAGGCTGCCACCATTGGAAAGTAGACTTTTGTGAATTCAATTTAGACTCAATAATGACCTAAAATTGAGTTCGGATGAAGGAGATATGCCCGTTTGGAGTTGGGCCTAGAAACAAATTTTTGGTGGGCGGCAGGTGGGCGGCCGGCCGGCCACTAGTGTAAAACCTAGATATTTTTGCCAGTTGTTTCCACAAAGCTCCAGCTGCCCCTTTATAGATATTTTCGACTGAGAGACTGTTTTCTATATATAGAGGACCTCTCTTCTTGCTTTCAAGGTTAGAAACATTTAGAAGTGAGGAGATAATTTTGGAAAATTCCCCTCTCTCTACAATTCTCTCTCTCCCTTTCTAATTGCATAGCTTTTGCCCAAACACTCTAAACCAAACCTAGAGAGCTTCTTGCTGAGGTGATTTGAGCTTGAATTTGAGCTCTTGAAGCACTTGAGAGTGTGAAATTAGTGGTTTATGACTTAAGAGTTTATTCCTCTCCAAGAGGTATACCTTCTCTTGCCTTTGTGCCGTCTTTACACCACTTGTTTTTGTGTTTTGGACTGTTTAAAACCTGTATTTTTAGGCTGAAACTTGTGGTTTAAGGCCATTAAAGGTAGAGGGGTTGATAGCCTTTTTTTACACCTTGCTTCTAAAGCCTTTGCCCTTGTGTTTCCCACTTTGTTATCAACTCTTTTTGAGCTTTTTAACACTATTTTTCAGAGTCATTTCAGTGGCTAAAATCATGTTTTGAAGTCCAAATTTGGAGGGGTTAGCCTCCCCTTTTTGTGTCTTGCTTACTCGCCTAGCTTGTGCTATGTTTTAGCTTATTAATTTAGCTTTTTTTAGCTTAATTCCAACATGTTTTAAGACTATTTTTAGACTGTTTTAGCACTTTTTTGGTTGATAGTTACATATGAGCTTTGTTTTGCATGCTTATAGTGTAATTTTCTTCATGAGTTGGTGTTCTAAGCCTTAGACACCATCTTATTTGAGTTGATTGCATTTATTTATGGCTTTCTATACTTGTGATCACTCGTAATCACCTCTGCAGCCTCCTTCCTTTCTTGGCTTTTGTTTTGCTTTGAAAGTGGTTTCAAACCCTTTGTTTGTTTAAGCATGAGATTGAGATGGCATGCTTAATGGTTTAATCCCTTTGGGGGTTCATTACCAATGGTATGATGTCTCTTTCATACCCAAAGCAACTCTTGGTTTGAGCCCTCTTTCCATTAGAGGACTTAAATTCATCCTTTGGACTCAATTGATTAAAGAATGGATGGTAATCTAAAATGAAGTAATAAAATTGAGGCTAAAATGGTGCAAGATAATAATTGGCATTGTGTTCAATCGGACGTTAATTGAACACATGGAAGCTTGAGGCATTTCATACTCATTAGTGATGAAATGGTTCAAGTTTCCAAAGTCACCACTTCCCCTGATCAATTCATGAAGGGGGGGAGGTT